GACGGTAGTGTTAAATTAGGAACGAAAGTTGAAGTGAGTGTCAAATAGGGAACGAAGAAAATTTCAGGGCCAAGAAAGGAACGACTCATTTTCCCAGTGTCAAATAAGGAATTCTCTCTAAAACATAACTCATCGTCTAAGGTGTAGATTAGATCAGTTTCCGATTAGCAAACGATGGGCTAAACAAGATATGAGGCCGATCCAGATCAGTCCCAATCGGGCAAAGTGATACTGCTGTAATTAGATAAATAATGAAAGCAATAAGCAATATCGGTAACTTAATGAATCTACCAAAGACTGTCATTCTTAGGTAGAGCCGATAACTTGACCTTAATCTAGTTCATGCAGTGGAGGTCGACCGGATCGATGCAGCCATACTTAAACTAGATAAGAATCGATAACTAACTTATACCAGAGTCGTAGTGGAGGTCGACCGGATCGATGTAACCCTACAAACAGAGGTATAAGTCATGATGGTACTTACAGACAAGCAGTGGAGGTCGATCGGATTGATGCAGCCATACTCGCTGAAGAACTCGTCGAGATCTACTCTACTCCTACTCCTAAGGGGTGGCCGGAGCCGAAAAAAGTAAGGAACTTGTATTTGATTGATTATGTGTCTTTACAATAGCCGGGGTTCAATATTTATACCCGGAGCCTAAATACAAATCCTACTCAAGTATGACTCGGTACAATCTTTGGTATGAAGAAAACATTCCTATCTTAAGATAACTTGGACCCTAATCTTTCCCCTTTTGTAGAGTCCTATATGTATCTCCCCAACGCCGATTGTAGCTCATCATCGTTATCTGCCGACGTCATTCAAAGAGAGCCGATTGCAGTGTCGCATCCGAACCGGCTGATGTCGACCTTTATGCAATCGATTCCTTGATTGGCACAATCTTAGAAGCCTGCGAGTTCCCACATTCTTCTCCCAAATTTTGGTGTAAACACATGCCCCCCATTTTTGGGATAAAAGTGATTTTATTCCAAAATTACTATTTGTCCGTTTACTATGTTGCAACTGTTCCATCCTAAGATGTACGCATAACTCCTGGCCTGAGCTTTATAAAATACCCCAATAGTATCTTTTCCAACTTACTCGGCCTGTTTGCCTTCTCCTTCCCTCTCGATCCAACCTTAACAGTCGACGCCGTCATCGCCAAGGCCTCAAACCCTAGCAAATCCGCTGTTCTATAAAGCCGTCATTCAAGCTATCTTCGTCAGATCCGAAGCTGTTCCGGCTGTAATGGCGACCAACGACCATGTTCCTGAGGTATGCTTCCATGTTTCCATTCTCCAAGTATCAGCCGCTACCCCGTATTTCTTCTCTTCTTCAATTTATTTCATTCGATTCCTAGGAAATGAGGAACGAAATCTTGATTCCATCAGCTGTTGTTCCTAATGTCTATTTCCTCGGGCCTATGGGTGATCCTGATCCATCTGATTTTATCCATCAAGAAACCAACCAGATCTCCTTCAAACAATCTGCAATGGATTCATCTTCTTGGAATAAAACTCCCTTCAGAAACTGGCCTAAAGCACCTAAGGGATGGAGAAATTGGTTTCGTAGGATATCCGAGAAAAAGGGTGGAGATTGGGAGCTTTATGATTTGAATCAATGCTTGACACTCTCGTTGTCCAAAATGGAGAGGAACGATTCACTCCTGATCTCTGCTTCTTATTTCTAGTCTAATGCTCTGAATGCTTTTATTTTTTGTCACAGTCCAATGACCATCACCCTGGACGATGTTTACATGTTGACTGGCCTTAGAATCACCAGATCAGTGCAGTCTTATGAGTACTTGAGTGCTGGCTCCAAGAGATTAGCCAAAATAGCAGACTGTATAGGATGGGCCAGTTACATTCTGAACCACGTTGGAGATGGATCAGTTGTCAGCGAAAGGGAATACGTGGCCTTCCTAAACATGTGGCTGGAATGATTCATTTTCTACGGGTCATCTTGTGGTCCAACCTACAATCACAAACTCATGGTGGAGCACCTAGCATTAGGCAATAACATCCCTCTTGGAAAGTATCAGCTAGGAGCTGCTTATCATCTGATATACCAGGTGGCTGCCCAATTACTGAAGAATGAACCAGTGCATACTATCAGCGGCCCTTGGTGGCAGATACAACTGTGGCTTAATTTGTATATTCATAAGCTTGTAAGGCCTGATCTCAGAGACCTGAGCTTTCCTTCCTCTAATTTTGATGAGGAATATAAGGGCGAAGGAGGAAGAACCCGCCAGTGCATGAACTATGGTGAAGCTGCATCAGCCATAATAATTAACGTCGATGTTGGCCATCTCTTCAAAAAGTTTTACAGAGAGTTTGATGCAGACGTCCTGACTTGGCTACCTTATGATGAGGATGAGAATAGTGAACTATCTTTCCCATTCAAATTTTGATTTGAATCCAGCTGTTCGGACGAGACAGTAGCTGTGATCTTCAATTCTTTTATCAATCCCTGTGTTCTTTCAGCCGAATTTCGCCATGGTCGCGGCAAAATGGTTACAGGTTCCTTCATTCTAGGCAACCTTTCAACTTATGAGTTTTACAACCCTTCGTTTGTAGCTCGTCAGTTTGGTCTCGGCCAATTGCCCCCCCCAACTTTTCTTCAAGGATATACTGAGGCCAAGAGAAGATATCAGTGAAATATTGGAAGCCTCCAGAGTTTTTCGACTGGGATTAGATCTCCCTTCCCTTTTCTTGCATGACTAGGCCAAAGCCAGCTTTTCTTCCAATCTCTTTGACTCCTGGTGGCAAGAATGACACTCTCACCTCTTCTGTGGGTTGGTTCATCCTATGTGCATGCTCTGGATGGGGAATTTGATTGTGACAGAGAGGTAACTTGCCATTTCTTTTAAGAAAATTATTCGATGAATTCTTTCACCAACCGCTCTAACCGATCCTTTTTCAGGACATTAAATTTGATCCCCCGAGCTTGGATAGGAAGGGGCATCCCATAGACTATCGGCCACCATGCCCGGTCGCAAGATTAGGATCGGTTGCACCTTCGTTGATGAAAACTCATGCTGCTCCCATGATTATGACATGTCAATCTCCAAAGCGCAGAGTGGTTCAAGGGGCAACTCAAAAAGCCACTACTAGAAAAAGACTCCGTAGGACGAGACCATCAGCTGCTCTGGTGAACGATTCATATTTTTCTCGAACTGATGTTCAACTTTCTGATCCCATTTTTTCATAGTTATCGAGCATTGCGTCCCAGTCTGCTTTGGGTGCGAAACTGCTATCCCAGGTGCTTGATTCAACACCAACTGAACCCCCATCGGCTGATTCTCAAAAGGAGCCGATTCCGGTTGAAATAACCGATGCTTCTACAATAGCAGAAAATGTGAGTTTCATCCTTGATGTTTGTGGGAATTCTTCTTTAATTTCCTGATTTACTCAGTTTTTTTCATCCTTCATCTGATTTCTTGCTATGTTAGATACTTCCCAAGAAAACACCTATGCAAGAGCAGGAGTCTGACGGTCTCCTTATTAAAAATAATCCTGCTGTTGCTGATATCCAAACTGTCGATTCCCCGGTCCAGCGCACAACCGATGGTAAGAAAGTCATATGCTTAGCTCATTTCTCTGCAACAAACATGAATAAAAAATCATTCCTTGTCATTGCAGATACCAACGCTGGAAGCCTAGAGCCGATTCAACCAGATGTTATTGGTGCATCACCAGCTATTCCCCCTCTTCAGATAGAGGCTACTATAGAGAAGGTACTGTATCCTCTTCGCCATCCACTCTGTGATAAACCGATTCAAACCTCCTAATCAAGATTTCCCTTATACACAGGCACTCAATCTTCCAGTCCGTAGCTACTCTTACAATCTTGAGGAGTACTTTGATGAAGATGAAATTAGATAGTCAGCCACTTTCTCTAATGAAGCTTTGTCGGAGGAGACCAGAAATCGACTAAGAAATATACTGCCAATATTTGAGAAGAACATAGCCGATTTGGTTCAAGATACTGATTCAATGCAGAGAGTCTTCTTGACCATTAAGGGTGATCCATCCCTAGCTCTCTCCAAAGTCTTGTCATCTTTGTCTGTTTTTGAAGATCAAGCCCTACAGGTGAACAAGACCCAGAGGAACTTGTCTAATCATAAAGCCTTACTGGCCAAGGGGGACTCTAATAGGCAAGAGGCTAAAGAGCTGATGCAGTTGATTGATGATTTGAAGAACTCCTCCTTCAGGACTGATCCAGAGTTGTCCCAACTAAAAATCAAGCGTGCAGAACTTGAGAATGAGCTAGAAAATGAGAAGCGTGCAGTACTTGGTCAACAACTAAGAGACAACACAGATCTTAGCAGATGGAACACGATCTTAAATCAGGATATCTACCAATATGATGAAATTGGGCCTGCGATCAAGGAGATGCTCAAAAGGAGCTACCAAAATCTGAGTTATGAACTACAGCTTTGCTTTCGGTACTGTAGCATATTTCCTCCTGGCTTTAAGTTCAAGATGGAAGAGTTAACTGAGATGTGGGTGGGTTCAGGGTTGATACTACAACAAGAGAATGCCATAAAGAACCAGGAAGATACTGCTAGGGAGCATTTCTGTAATCTGGCACGGAAATCGTTCTTTTCATTGGTACCAAGAGAACTGCTTGCAGATCCTTCTGAAGATTACTATGTCATGCATGATTTGATGTATGACTTAGCATGTACTGTTTCTAGTGAGGAATGTTTAAGATTTACAGATGGTGGCCACAGTGCTGACATACATTGTGTCCCTAAACTGCGTCACTTGTACATTCAAAGCTTAAATTCGGAAATTATAACAATTATTTCCCAGTCCAAGAACCTGCGTACTCTGATCATAGAGAATGGGGCAAACTCTGTACAAAAAGAACTTGCACATGATCTTAAGAAAGCTATAAAAGGCAGAACAAGCTTGCGGCTCTTAAAGTTAGATGGACATGGCTTGATTGGCTTGAATGATGCTCCACTGAATTGAAGCACCTAAGGTACATATATATGTCAGCTATTGATGAACCTAATCTGTGTAAACTGCTTAAGCTCTATCACCTGCAAGTCCTTCGAATTACAAAGATAGATGAAGAGGATAAGGTGAAGTCCATCGACATTGGTTACCTACCTTGTGTGCAGGAACTATACCTTCCTAAAAATACATTGTCCAGGATCCCCCACATTGGGAGGTTGACTACACTTCGTGAGCTGAATGGGTTCAGCGTGCGAAAAAAAGATGGCCACAGAATAACTGAGCTGCAGGATTTAGGGAAGCTACGGAAAATCATTGTGCTTGATGTCCAAAATGTTAGCAATTTTAATGAAGCTTATGCTGTTAGATTGGATAATAAGACCGCTCTGAAGGTATTGTCTTTGGGATGGTCTGATGATAATGCTAGAGATGATGTTCAAATCCTCACCAAGCTTGTTCCCCACAGGAGTCTCAAGAATTTAATTATTTCTGGATATATTGGCATTAAACCACCAATTTGGATGGAACCCAGCTACCTCACCAATTTGGTATATCTCAAGCTTGATGGCTGTGTGCAATGGCACGAACTCCCACTGCTTGGCACCCTACGGTCACTAAAGCATGTCTTTCTGGTGCATCTTACAAAGTTGAAGTGTATTGCCAGTTTATCCAATGGTTCTGGCGGATTGCCGCCTCATCTAGTTACATTTGATGTGAAATATTGCCCAGACCTTTCAGAGCTACCTGTGCTACCTTTCAGTCTAAAGTTTTTGGGTGTAGAAGCAGTTGGAATCTCAAGTCTGCCTACCACTATGTCTGATCTCGAGAGATTAATAGAGCCACGGCTTTCTGTGCTGCAAATAGAATCCTGTGAATTTTTGGCTTCCCTTGATGGTTCTTTCCTACAAGAGGAACATTACAACGCTCTCTCAGTTTTAAAACTTTTTCGATGCCATAAATTGAGCTCACTTCCTGATGCAGCACATTTTCAAAGAATGTGTGTACTGGAGAGTGTTGAAATAGTTGACTGCGATATTTTAGCATCCTTGGGTGGGCTAGTAGCCCTTTCTCATCTTAAACTATTGAAAATAGAGCGTTGTGGCAATCTGCTCAATACTTCATCGTCAAGGCTTCCTCAGTCACAAGACGAAAGTTTGTCTCTGGAGCTTGAAACACTTGCAATTGATGACCATCTGCTACTTGTTTTGACTCCATTGAGGAATTTGTGCTGCACTAGGAGGCTTATCATATCAGGCGAATCTATAACGAATTTGTTGCCAGAGGATTGGTTGTTGCAGAATGGATTGCACCTGGAGCATATACAAATAAGCAATGCTGAACACTTGCAGTCTCTTCCGCTGAAAATGCATGATTTGCACGCCCTTCGGAGTTTGCTTCTTCATAAGGCTCCCCTCCTTCAGTCACTCCCTTTAATGCCTCCTCAGCTGTGGGCCCTTATCATTACTGGTTGCTGCACAGAGTTAAATGAGCAATGTCTTGCCGGTGGCTCAGAGTGGGCGAAGATAAGTCATATCCACCGTTGTAACATATCGAATGGAAGATGATAGGTATGCAATGTTTTGGTGCTATCCCCTTTTCCTGATATGTTTATCGTTTCACTGATCATTCAAGAGCCTAACATCTAACATTCTGTGAACAATTTCAGACATTGAATTTAACTGTAACTCTGAGCGAAGTTCCTCTAAGATCGCCACGAGATTTTCTTATATGTTGCGATACCATCTTGTCACGGATTGGGCTGCCAAATGGACCTGTCATGGACCTGGCTACCAAATGGGCTTGTGTCAGTGAAATGTACTGTGCTACCAAAAGATCAAAGAGTGCCAAACAGAAGGACCGAACAGAAGAGAACTCCTGAACTCATCTTCCTCCTCATTCCCAGGACTGTCCCTGCCCACCTCTAGTTCTTACTGTTCCTGTCTACTAAGGCCCTATTCGCTTTGCTGAAAAATCATGGCTGAAAGTACTGTTCGTTGATTTGTTGTGAGAGAAAAACATTATTCGTTCGCTGAAATAGTACGGCTCATAAGATAAGCGAATAGGGCCTAATTCTCTTCTCCGATCCCTCTCTAATTGTATCTTGAATTGAGTAAATCGTTATTATCGAGTATTCTTGTCTGGATATCAAGGTATGTGACAATCGGTATCAAGAGTCTCAAATCCACCACAAATCTAGCCCCAAATTTTCCCCAGAACGATTGGGCCATGGTCCTGGTGGCTCATGTCTCCACGTCGATGATAACGATGGAGGGGATATTGCGTCAAATAAACGACATCATGGACCGCTTCAATCTTGTTTCTTCGGCGTCCCTGCGTCAAGCACTGTATCGGCGTAACACTTTAAGTGCAACATCGCAAACGTATGGAAAACTATGTAATGCAACATCGGAATATAAATACTGCAACATTGCAAAAATATGTAGTACAGCATCGAAAAACATGTACTACAACATTGAAAATTATGTGCTGCAACATCAAAAACATGTACTGCAATATCGAAAAGCACATATAATGCAACATCGGAAAATATGTACTGCACCATCAAAAAATTATGTGTTGCACACATTGAAACATATGTACTGCAACATCGGAAAATATGTACTGCAATATCGCAAAATCAACCATGAAACATAGAAAATGGAACCATTCCGAAAACATCTGTTGCAACAACCCAAAAATCTCATTGCAACATTTAAAAAATCATTTGTTGCAACATTAAAAAAAAACCATTGCAACACGGAGGAAACAGCAAAGGGCGTACGAATAGCAGCCTTCTCCAGCCTAGGCCTGTCACCTCCGAGCTTGCCATAGGGAAGAGGGAAGGACCCCAGAGCTCGCCAGAACCCTAGCCACCTCCGCGTCCCTCAGATCCAGAGGAGGAGGAGGAGGAGGGCTCAGATCCAGAGAAGGAGGAGGAGAAGGGCTCAGATCCAGAGAATGATCGACCTAAGCTATCTTGTCGGAACCGCCGTCGTCGTCCTCGTCTCCGGTGGGGGACACGGGAGCTGGGTCGCTAGGGAGCGCAGGGTCGCATGGAGCTCGCGAAGGGGGGAGGGACGGAGGCAGGCAGGGAGGGAGCACAGGCAAGTGGGGCGGCAGCGAACTTGCGCACAGGCACGAGAGCTGGTGTGGGGATGGGGGAGCGAGCGGCAGAGTGGGGATGAGGATGAGGGAGAGCGTTGCAGGAGCGGATGAGGGCGGTCGTGTTGCAGGAGAGCGTTCCGTGTGCGGCGGGTCCATCCAGACGGGACGGATGCCCGCTCTATATCATTATCAATTTGGGTCTCCAATCGTCGCACTTCGTAGTTTTGGGACTCCAATCGTCGACTTCGTAAAAATAGGCCTCCAAACGTTGGACTCTTGATTTTCACGACATTATGTGTATTTTATACCGTTTCTAGTATATATACCTGTATTTGGCACCTGAATGGACCCTTTTGCCCTTCCGTCTTTACCTTTGTCATTGGATAAAAAAAGATTGATACCGACGTTTTGTTTCCGCATTCATTGCTGCCACCATCAGAGAGATCCTGACACAGCTCGCTTGCCCTAGATGAACGCATCGGAGATCATGGAGCTCGATGGTCAGCCACCCGACCTGGTCGTGGCCGCCGACGGCCTGGGTGCACTGCTCACCCAGGGCATGGCCATGTCGCCCAACCTTGGCCCAGTCGCGCCGGCTAAAGGCCTGGCTACGATCGTCTAGGGCCTGGTCACGCTGCCTGGAGGCCTAGCCACGCCGGCCATGGACAGGTAGGTCGCTATGTCCACTGCGATTGCCCTGACGAGGTCATTGTTGCCCACTGCTCCTCCGGCAATAGAGTACAATCTTCCTATAGTGCAAAGGTGACGTTCTTGATTATTTGTGTTATTGTTTGTACACGGTACTCACAGTCATACTGATAGTGATAGTTGTGTCGTTAATTATTTGTGTTAGGTCCGAACTAGAGCATGTGGAAAATATATAGCAGTAGAGTTTAGAGGCATATTGTGAAGTTAAATCAAATGACTTGTACTTGTCTTGAATGGCAGCACACTGGTAAGCCATGTCAACATGTATTGACCTTTGTAACCAGGCAGCGGGGAGTTGACCTGAACAATTTGTGCATGAGTACTACTCGGTGAATAGGTTCAAGGCTGCTTATGGTAGAGAGATTGAGCCACTGACAGACAAAACGCAATGGCCACAAGTGGAACTACCATTTGTTGTTGGTGTACCTTTACCTAAAGGTGAAGTAGGAAGACGAAGGAAACTTAGTGAAATGATCCCGATTTTCCACAAAGGGAAAATCCACATATACGAATTATAATATGATAGTCCAGGAGATCAAGCCATCAAATTATCAAATAACAGTTGATACCACAGTTCATACATCGCGGAATTACAAGATTACAAGGCATTACAACACTGGGTAACACACCTAAGTACAACATTATTCTAGCAGAAACGCACACATGGTTTCATCAGAGTAGACGTAGCACGTCGGCGGGTGAAGGCTCCTCCTTCATGGACTATCATCAGGGTAGATGTAGAGCGTCGGTGGGTGAAGGCTCCTCCTTCACGGGCAATCTTTAGAGTAGGCGTAGAACATCAGTGGGCGTAGACTTCATCTCCTCAACCAAACTTGAGCGCGGGCATGAGACCATCTAATCTTTCTAATCTCCGTCATCGTCGTCGTAGATGACATCCAATACCTGCCAAATATATTTTAGTACGATTTGTACTGGCCACTAGCTCCCACCCTATGCTTTGCATATGCTTTGTGGTAAGTGGAATGCAAGGGTAGAGCAAAAGGCCGATATATGGCTGTAGGTTTCCTATGCAAGTTCATCAATATTTTATAATAGTTCATCAAATTTTAACCTATCTCATCCAGATATTCATCCATCCCTTCACACACATCTCACCACACTCTCACTCTTTAGGCGGCAAGGATGACTCCCTCTCGTACCTTGCCTTATCGGCTAACAGCTGAAGTCCAAGAAACCCGGGGAGAAGAAAGGACACCTCTCTCTAGTCAAGTGAAGCAGTACTATAGGAAAGGTCCATAGCCGTGGAAAAGACGACATATATATCGATCGATCAACCATACACTCTGCAGAGGTTTACACTACCCACAAGATACACCATCATCGATGACCCGGCTCGTCTAGGCTGATTCCGGCTGCTTTCTAGTCTGTAACGATACCATCCTACCACTCAGCCCTAAGGCACCCTGAATTTCTCCGGCATGCTGAGACCGTGAAACATAAATATCGGGCCCCACAAGTGGTAATACGCACCTAGAGGGGTTCTAGATTCAACATCCTCACCCCCCCACACTGTCAACTTACAACCTAGCAGTAATGGCATCGCCCAGATTAGTCCACAACCGTCTCCTCCCTAGAGAGGAGCGAATGGGATGCAAGGATTCCTATGAACCAGTTCCCAAAACATATAAGTCCTTAGGGTGACTGAACAAGACATCTTTACAAAGGGGTTCCGACACCCTGTGCTTCAACAGCACCTCTACTCTAGGGATTTGTCCCACGAAGAACACTCCTCCCCGGATTCTATACCTCAAACCGGTACCTGCCATAGGTACAACTCTCAAGGAGCGCTCAGGTCACACTCCGGCAAGACTCGCTCAATAGCTCATCGTAGATCCTGCTCGGTCGACTCAACCCTCACCACACACCCATGACATACGCCAAGATCTCCCCAAGTTGTCATCACATTATTACCATATTATCGGCACCAAGTGCCTTAGCCACTCATAAACAATCCTCCACCAAGCATCACATCAGAGATATAATGTGTAGTAGAAGCAAGTAGTAAGTAGTAAGCGAGCATCTATCCTATCAGCGGGTGTGCAGGGGTAAAGGTTGCGTCAAGGTAATGGCTTTCAAGCAATTCTACCATGCAACATATCACAGATTATTTGCATAAAAGTAGAGCACTAGCAGCTACATTGTTGCATGTCTAATAGGATTCTATGAGGTTGGGTGGCACATGGCACCTATTCACTGGTCATCTCCAAGATCCTCAATGTACTCATAGTCCTTCTCCTCCAAGTCCTGCTATCGTCCGCGTCTTCTCACTCCGATGGGTCCCGGTCTAGTCAATGCTATCCTCGATGCAACTACATCAATAGAGAGACAAACAAGGCAATAAGCAATCAATACTCTAAAAAGGCGACAAGACCCGGAAAAATGAAGAACACCAAAAGAACACTGAAGGAAAAGGCTTAGCCCTCACAGCAGATGTCCGATCCTTGGGCCAAAAAGAGGCAGAAGTGGTTACTTGCTAAGCACAAGCTTAAGTCATAGCCTAGCCAGTTATTTCTGGGCCAATTGTGTCGACCTGTACAGCTTCAAGAATAATGGCCTAGACTCTATCTCATCTTAAGCAATCACCATAGCTCGTGGCCTTCTGATCCGGGCGTCATGGAGGTTGACGGGAATCGAGAAGATGGAAAACAAGAGAGGGAGAGAGAAGAGTTCCGGTCTCTCTCAATCCGTACGCCATTGTAATTGACGAGAACCGAAGAGAGGACTGAACAGG